CACAGCAAAGACTAGTCAGAACACGAGGAAATTTAGAGTGGCTGACCCTACAGAGCAGGACAAGCAGCCAAAGACCAAACCGAAGTCTGAGATCAGCCAATCGAACTCCCTTATCCTTTTTAGTGAACTCATGTGTAATAATAGTTTACTTAAACAAGGAGCTCTGTTTGATTAATGTTGCTGAGCAGTTAATATTCTCAACTCCTGTCGGAACAGCTGAAATTCATAAACCTTCCTTACGCTAAGAAAATACCCACGAGCAGTAGAAATCCATCAATTAATGCGTCTAAAGCTTATGTATATTTACTCCCAACAATGACATTGCAGATCAAATGAGATAAACATATCACTGATTTCAAAATAACACATCAATGAACTATAATTCGAGGATTCTGCACACAACAAAGGTATGTATGAAAATTGACTTCAAGCTTTATTTTTTTCCCAGGCACTTATAATCCATCCACCAAAGACCTGGTTGTTTTTGTTAATGCGAAGACAATACTTCTGTATTTCCCGATGTGTTGCACTCACTGACAATCTAGCAGATTTTTCCAACTTTGCACAGAAATGATTGTGTATAAGTGAAAAGGCTGTTTTATGCTACTGGGATTAACATTTATCAAGTGTATGTATAATCTCCAGCGAACATGTAAAGCATATCTTGCTACCGCCTGTAAACTGTGATTGAATTATATGGTTCTATTTCTGCAACAATTTGATGATGCCTGTAAACTGGCGTCCCTCATCTACTGTACTATGAGATTAGTAGCAGTTATCCAATTTGTGCATTAGGTCTGAACATCAATTCAGAAAGATTGTGTTTGTTGAACAGGGGTGTTCAGGAACCTCAAGGTAGGCCGTCTATATTAGTGGTGACATTGGGCTCCGCCGAAGAGGCTGAAGGAATACTGTTACTGGCTCGAGTACTAGCTATCGGCAGGAGCTCCAAAATAAGAACGAGGCATGATAAGTCATGGGCTAACAGACAAATGGCTAGAATGTCACTGGAACTGATGCCCTCTGTCTCCATGGTCATACACGGTGTTCCAGCAATGGAAACTGGCACCGTTTGCGGAAAAACATGCATGACATGCAGCGGTGGAGATAGCTGTCATTTCAGATGGCTCTTGGTGCCTCTGGAGCAATCCGGCTACCTCACTTCACTCATCCCACATTGATTAGCTCCACAAGGCTGCCAAATGTAGACTTCAACGCCCAGGAACAGTTGGTTCTGCCAATTCAACGGTGCTGCGAGACCAAGGGTATATTCTGAGGACGCATCGGGTGCTGCGAAAGCAGACCCCGAACCATAAGGAGGCAGCAGAGTGAAGTCTTAATACGTCCTCAAACCTCAGTCACACTACAGCGGTGCGGCACTGAGAATGGCAGTCACCTGAATCCAAATAAAAAGCGCCAACAGGCCGGTTCCATCTCAGTCGGCTAAATAGTCCCGGTATTAAGTCCCCTATAGGTGGACGGTGTAACATCAACTACCCCACAACACGCTGTCAGATGCCTATATAGCAATGCGAGAGGGCTGAGAGGGAAAGTAGGTGGATTCAGAAACCTTTAGTCACATCTACGCCTTGAAACAAGCGTGCTTATTGATACCCGGTTAATCCTCATTATCGGCAGCAACGAAATCAGTATAAGTGATAATACTGGTCATGAGAGACAGGGGTAACAAGGAAGGGTGGGAGTTGCCACATACTTTGGCAGGCAACCTAAATGCGTGCGTGCAACCGACGTGCCACTGACTGAACTCCCAGACTCCGTATGGTATAATTTCGCCACAGGCTGCACCAGGCAGTTACTGGGTGGCATCTACCGATCACCCACCTGAGCAGAAAGTGGAAAGTCATCGAAACTAGATTATATTCCAACTAGTGACCAGCTACTTGTCGAAAATGTCCAGATCATGATCTCACTAGGAATAAGTAGACACGCAGTCGGTGGCACAGTGGTCAGGACTCTCGCCGACCATGCACATGGTCCGAGGTTCGAGCCCCTGCCGGCGCACACCCGATATCTATGGTCGGCCTGCAAAATTTGGGTTACCGATATCCATGCTGAAAATTCCATACCTGTACTGAAAATACGGTGTGGCATCAAGCTGTAACCAAAATAAAAAAATCTTGTTCTCCATGAGCACTTGCAGTGGGACGTTATGTGACCATGTCTGTGCTATTACAAAGCAGACTTTGCTGAAATGCGGACTCTTTTGTTCGACGCAGAATGGCCCTTAGAATGAGATAAGTAATCTGTGGATGAACACTGGGAGGTGGCGAAAGACATTATTGACACAGCAATCTCGGATACCATCCTTCAGGTCATAACACAGCTGAAGAAATGGTCATCATACCTGAAGGGAGGTACGTAACTTATTCTGCAAGCAGAGTGGAAGGCTTGGTCTACGTGGCGAACATCTGAGTGTCAGACCGACCACGATGCATGCCTGGAACTCAGGAACCAGTGTAACGTGAGAGTTGGGATTGAACTGAGATTATTTCAGGCTAACCTTGCTAAAAGCTCCATAATGGATAAGATTTTATTTTGATAAATCACACAGTGTTGTGCAGTGATATTAACTGATGACGTTTCGAGCACAAACTATTGCTCATAATCACATCATATCATATATCAACTTGATATGATTATGAGCAATAGTTTGTGCTCGAAACGTCATCAGTTAATATTACTGTACAACACTGTGTGATTTATCAAAATAAAATCTTATCCATTATGTAGTTATACTTTACCACAGTACCCAAGTTTTATACTTATATCAATAATTGCTTAAAGCTCCTGGCGAACACCAAAAGCCTGTACCGAATCATGTCGTAGGGAAAACCAACCAAACAGGGGCATGCGCCTTAGTAGGTCCAAACGGTCAATACTTCACTAGTCTGGAGATGGCCGACATATTCAGTTTAGCCTTCGCCGAACAGTTAAACAGCGATGTGGGTATTACTGATACGGACAGAGATAGTTGCACCACTACTTCTTCAGAAGAGAACCCGGTGGCTAATCCGCAAATGAACCCAACAATCGTACTAAGGGAAGCTACAAAGACTCACATTTGGAAGGTCCCCAGATTGTGACGAAATCGGGCCATCTGTTCTAAAACAGTGTGCTGAAGCTCCATGTAGGCCCTTATGCGACTTGTTCTAACATACGATTTATTCGGTGAAACTGCCAAGGGAGTGGAAAAGAGACATCCTTTCTCGGATTTTCAAGCAAAATGCCACTAATTATATACAAGTTTTGGTACTCCAAATGGTATCGAAAGTACTGGAAAAGTCATTGATCACATCAGGGAGCACCTTGGCAGGACTAACAGACTCCATGAAGTCCAACATGGTTTCAGAAAAGGCAGACCCTGTGTAACAAACTTACTATCAGCCTGGGACGATTAGGCATCATGCTGGAATATGAATGTTCCAGTCCATGTGGTCTTTCTAGACTTCGAGAAGGCATTTGATACAGTTCACCATGACCTTCTCCCACACAAACAAGTCAGGCAGATATAGGTGGGTCTCTTCTGTCATGTTTGAAGGACTACCTGGCTGAAACGTAATTTTGCACTAGAGGTCAATTGAGTCCAATCATCTGGACATAGCTCGTCATCAGGAGTGTCGCAGGGCTGTACTCTAGGGCCGCTGAAGGCTTTGATTTTTAGCAGTGACCTACTATGCCGTTTAAGCTGCCCGACTCTCCTATACGCGGAGGACATAAAGATGTGAAGAGTCATTATGTGTTCGGAAGACTCAGATAGGCTGCGGGCAAATCTAAAGCTTCTGAAAGATTAAGTGGTGGCCAGTGGTATGGCTTTCAACCTGAAAAAGTGCAAAGCAGCGAAATTACTCACCTGTAGGCTGCAGAATGCAGGATACACCTTATGCAAAGAAAGCCTGTCCTGTACAACGTTGGAGAGTGACTTAGGTCCAGTTCTACTGTAAAATGGACACAAGTGTAAATTACACGGGGGACTTAGATAGGGCATATCCGGCCATGAACTTTACACACAGACAGTCAGGTGCACTAACTCCTGAGCTCTTACATCAAACCCCACCTTGAAGCATATAATATCACTGCACTGCTTAGAAGAGAAGTAAACCTGTTGGAGTGTCCAAAAAACGGACGACAAAAGGAGCAATTGGTCTCCAAAAAGAAATTAGGTCTCCTCACACTTAGCTACCGTCGCTTAGGGGGGACTCAATTACTGCCTTTAGGACAACAAATGACGAGAATCATCCAAACAAAGGTGTTCTGCCATTAAGCATATATGGGCTTCACCCTGGCAATCCACGAAGGATACTTCATTAGAGAGCAAGGACTCATTGCGCCCCCAGTTCTTTTCATAGCCGGATGGCTTTCTTGAGGCGTTAGATGAAAACTGGACAATTATGCAGCGACATAAGGACTGCGTCCAAATGGCTTATCCCCTTAAAATCCCATACACCACTCCTGGGTAGACATCTAAATTCGTTGTTTCACTTCTTCACATTCTCTCCAGTCTTACTCTCCTGATTACTCCAACTACTACACTTATTATTATTACTGATATTTTATACATATATATTTATACTTATATATGTATTTATTTCAACTTCAAATTTAATTGGCTGTCTGATTTTACGTTTTCTTTATTACTTTTCTGTCTTTTAGTCTGAAAGACCCACACTATTTATATCTATTATTATTATAATCACTTTTCTTTCGACGACGATACTGAAGGACTAACTGGTGGAAGGATCAACTTCATTCACAGTAGTAGCAAAGTCTTTAGACATCGCTTACTACAAAACACATATAATTAATGCCAGCAACACACCTTTCAGTGTAGACCAGAGCTACGAAGATCGACTGACCGGAAGAAATACTTAGAAGTTTAACGAAGATCAGCAAGCTTCACCTCACAATCAAGAATTGAGCACCAGGAAATCAAATTGGTTTACACTAGCTCGTAAAAACGATATTAGATAGTATAAATTGGAAATTGAAATGCGGAACTGAAACGCGGGTCTTGTGAAAATATTGGATGCATTTACAACTTTTGCAGTTATGGAGGATGACTCACTTCTGAGTGATGCAGAAGATTATGTGAAGCAGCATAATGTACAGAAACTACTCAGGGATTGTGTGGTTAACTTGTGCTTATATCGCCCTAGTAATCCTGTAGCATTTCTTCGTGAGTATTTTGAAAAACTTGAGGTGAGTAAATAATGATTTCTTGCATTCACTACATTTGTTTTTGAAATATTATTCATTAAAAGTGACTGTGAGATGCTTTATTGTTAGTTCCAAGCCAGAAAACCTTTCACTGCCTTCCCTGTTATAAAATCATTAAGCCATACTGAACTAACTGTGCCTTTTACCTTATTTTTTCTCATATTATTTTATTATTATTGTGTGGCGCATCTTCTTGGTGCCATATTGTATCCGATTTTGTGTTTCAAATAAAAATAGAAATGTTAGGTAGTATTAATCAAACCAATCACTTCATGATCTGTACTACAAAGTTTTTAAACTAAAGGGACCAATGGTGTGCACCAGTTTGACGGAATTATCTCAGATTGCTATACATTAAGTGGCGTCTTTGTTAATCCGGCCAAAATTTGTTCACCATAACCGCAAAACTACTGGGGTCAAAGTATGAGAACCTGCTCTTCTTCTGTTTTTAGATTAAAAAATTATACTTTAGCAGCAGTGGCTAGAGTTAAGGGACAAATGTCCTTATCAAGTTGTGGCTGATCTTAGTCAGTGGGCGACTGTATAGGCCATGGAATCTCTTCATCAAGGTGTTCTGCCTAATGTCTTAGCTGTCTCTGTTATTTTAGTCCCATCCTTCTCAGAGGTTTTTAGAGTGTTTCTTTAATAGACCTGAAAGTTGACGGGTGATAGCTGATTCTGTTGATTTCTTCCTCCTCCACTCTCCTCAGTTGGTGGTTGGTACAAAGACAAAATCAGTTTAATTGTGCGCAAATTTCGTTTCTAGTTGTGTTTGCAGAATACCGCCACCAGGCAGAAATGCACTTCCCATTGCAACTTTACTTTTCTTTCGACAGCAGAATGCTCAGCAGCAGGAGAACTCCGCATGATAACTGTCGTCATCTTGCTTGGCCAAAAGTTCGGTTACTTCTTCTAAATATGGACAAACTTGACACGTAAGGCCTTCACAACTTCTCTTTGCCCCCAACCGGTTAGACACACACACAGGTAGATGAACCCAGTTATGGTTGAGACCAGACATTGTTGTTGAAGAAGGAGATGCAATTACTCACAGTGACCTTCCCCACCGCTTACTTACGCTTTCAGAAACGAAATCCTGTTAATTCACACGATGTATAGGCGTGTTTAAAACAAGCAATAAAGCAGGATAATTTAATGAATTCATCAAATTTCAGTAGAACTCGTCAGCTGCTCAGTACTCTACATACACGGATATAAACATATACATACTTTTGAAATTACATTGGGAGATATGAGACTGATAAGTAAACAAATTACATTGATTTAGTCATGCAGAAAGACAGGTGCGAATGTTTTCCAGGTCAGGAAGTTCATTAATAAAAATACCCTAAAGAAATTAGCCCCTGCATAACAATCCAAACAGTTCCGAAGAAATCTGTTTATATTAGTTGGTCATTCAAAGGAGCTGATGTACAGGAAGTAGTCGAACGAAGACTCGATAAAGCTATCAGGCGAACTTATTATGCTGCAAATTTTGTTTTCCTTAACACCACTAAGCGAGTACTTCAACAATCTGGGAAAGAACAGTTGCCAATCCTCGACACTTCAAACTGCGTCTATCAATTTGAGTGTTTGTGGTACAGAAAGGTGATTGTCTGCTCATCGCATGATAGAGCATTCGCCAGTATGGTTGAAAACAACTGAATGCGCAAAGTGCCGAAATCCTCAATAACAAAACATCTTGTGGACTATGGACATGATATCGACGCGCTGTCAAGTCATTCCCACTGTTATTGTCAACAGATAAAGAAACAGGAAGATGCTTGCAATTGCCGAGGAGGCTTGTGCAATTCGAGTTTATAAACCAAGTCTCTGCGTACAAAAGGAGACCGATGGTCATCACTCTGAATCTACCATGGTAATACGTTTTACTTATTATTCTACCTATTATTATTATTATAACTGTTACTATTGATATCACTCTATTTGCAATTCTTGATATATTCTCTAATGACTAATTGTTTATCTAAGTGATGTGCAATTGAAGCGTATTGTATTTTATCTTAATTTTGATCTCTCATACTCCCTTCCCCCACTTATCTATTTGAACATGACCTGGAAAACATTCGCACCTGTCTTTCTGCATGACTAATTCAATGTAGTTTATTTGCTCGCTTATCAGTCTTATATCTCCCAATGTAATTTCAAATGTTTATATATCCGTGTATGTAGAGTACTGAGCAGCTGACGGACGAGTTCTACCGAAATTTGATGAATCCATCATTAAATCATCCTACTTTATTAACCTTTATTGCTTGTTGTAAATTCGTATCGGGAAATAAATGTTTTCAAATAGATGTTGCTTCAAGAACCAATACAGCATCTTGATAAATCACTAGCGAAATTTTCTAATATATTCATTTGGAATCAAACGGTTCTTATTGTGTGTGTAATCTGTTGACGTTAATACCTCTTTTAAAACAAGCTGATTGTTTTTAAAAAATAGTTCCCAATTTTTTTGTGCTATGCCTTGCCTTCAGTAATAAGTCTTTAAAATAAAAAAGATACCGACTAATACGTCATCCAAATATATCTTTCTTTTCGTTGACTACGTTTAGGTTTCTTCCGGAAGATCCAACAGTCCTCGCCAAGCTAATCATGAGACAGAGTCCACTCATCGGGAAAAACAATCACAAGAATATGAAGAAAATTCTCAATCATCATTCTCTACATTGAATGCTTCCACTCATGCTTCTGGTGGAAATGAAGATTTGGCGCATAAAACCAGTGTTCACACCCTGCCGCCGCCGCCAGTCAGCAGTCGAGACCATGACCACCAATCTTTCCAAATGAACAGTCATCAGTACTTCTGTGATCCAGATATCCCTGTCCTCAACAGCATTACTGAAACTCCTGCTTTAAATATCGAAAGTAATTGTGAGTTCTATAGCCCAACGGAAGAAGGAAGCAGCTGCTATGAGACTGCAAATAGTACCGACAGTAGTTATATGGCTGCATCACCATCTTCCGGTGTTAATCTAACCAGACGCCGATCTCGAAGAGGAGCAGTTAGTGGGGAGGTTTATACAGAAGAGGATGCAGCATCGTATGTAAAAAAGGTAGGTAGATACTTGTGGGCCTTATAACAAGTATCATAGCCATTTTAGTCTTACGCGTGTTTATTCCATATTACTTTGTTTATTAGATGTATCATACAGTGAAACAGTATTAGTATTTACTGGATGACGTTTTGAACAAAATTTACTGCTGCTCATAATCATATCACCAATTATTATAATCACACGACTTCGAAACTTGAGTTTTACAGTTTTCTTTGTCCTCTCCTGTTTGTCATCGTTGGGGTAGTAGAATTTTCCAGATATCCGGCTGGACAGGTGTTGAATCATTCCTATTACACGTATTCTCTCTCTCTCAGTTGATACGATAAACAAAGCATTGGTTGTTATCAATCTCTCCCTCCCTCCACCCTGTGACATTAGATTTTACAACTGTCATCCTATCCCATCTAGGTTATTGTATGGTAGTGTGTGATTGCATGCAGTGCTTGTTATAGCTGAACTATTCTTCAGATTTCTTATCTTATTCGGGTCAACCAATCTAGATTTTGCTACTGGGTTTTTATGCTGCTCGGCTAGTCTGACACACTAACTAACCCTGTTCTACTAGTTTGACCTATGTATTTGACCTGACAATCATTCCAGCATGCAGGGGATTAGATAAACTAAATTGTTGTGTTTCAAAGGCTCCACAGGATTGATCCTTTAGTCGACAAAGCTTGTTTCTAATTGAGTTTGTGGATGGTTTGAATTCCAGCCACTTTTATTCCTCTCTGTCTTGTTAGGAATTCTGCGTAAGGTGGGTGGTTTCCGAGGTTCCTTCCTTGGATGGAATTACTAGTGATGATTTAGATTCCTTATTGTTGGTGTCGTCATTAATATTATTATTATCATTATCACTATCGCTACTATCAGTATTTACTTTATTTTTACATTTCCCTATATGCTTTCTGACTAATTTATCAGGGTAATTATTAAGTTTCAAGGTTTCACTTATATGTATCACTTCCTGTCTTAGATTTTCCTCGGCACTACTTAGTTTTGTGGTCTGTTGTCACTTAGACATTTCACCAATCCTATTTTAACTGACATAGGATGGGATGATCGGAAGTCCAAATATCTGTTTGAATGTGTGGGTTGGTTTCCTGAAAACACACTAGTGTGTTTATTTTCCCATCTTCTTTCCTTTTTACGCTACAATATAACATTGGAAGCTCCCCCGCTTCCTGACTTTCTAATTCGTCATAAGTGAATTGAATTGCCTCCACCTTTGAGTTAGTTAATGTGTTCGAAAAATCTATCTGCATCCTGTGTTTTAAGTACAGTGAATGTGTGTCATCTACATACCTCCACCATACTTTTGGGGTGCGGGTGGGGGTGAACGTTTCAATTGCTATGTGAGTAGGTACTTGTGGGCTTTTGTCGTCCTTGTGTGTGTGTCCTTGGATGTGTTATGCCTTATAACAAGTATCTAGCGCCATTGTTAGTCGTACTTGTGTTTTTAATTTATTTCCTAGGAAGAGTATAAATCATTTCATTATATTAAAGTTTGTTTTCTTGTATTTCCCAATGAATGGTAAAGAGCAAAACGATATTATCGTTGCTCTTACTGAGGTTTCGCTATTTTTTAATGCTGCTGCTGCTAATAGTTTTATCAAAGCAGTATTATTAAACCAGAAGAATTTACAAAATCCACTCAGCATATATTATTTCAACAAAAATCTAGACACCAGTGTAAATTACACGAGGGACGTCACCAGAGCTTACGTAACTTTACATTTTATGCATAGGCAGTTGGGAGCTCTTACTCCCGAACTATTCTTAAGGTTGTATAAGACATATGTGAGGCCATTCCTTGAGGTGCATAATATCATTGTTCCTCCGCTACTCAAGCATTCTAGAAAGTGTACAGAGACGAGCGACAAAATAGGTGATCGGCCTTCGCAACAAATCATACGAGGAGAGACTGAAGAAATTAAGTCTTTTCACACTTAGTTACCGTAGTCACAGAGGAGACCTCATCACCGTCTATAAGATCTTAAATGACCAGGCCCACCCTAATAAAAGCATCCTGCCATTAATTGATTATGGGCTTCCACGAGGTAACCCGCTAAAGATAGCACACCAGAGACCAAAGACTCGAGTGCGTTCACATTTCCTTTCGCTTCGAGTTTGTCGTCTCTGGAACGCTTTACCGGCGGCCGTGACTACAGCGCCATCTGTGAAGACTTTTAAGCGGAAGCTGGACAATCATGCAGAAATGCAAGGTTTGTGTCTCAATGGCTTATCCTCTTAAAATTTGAAACCACATTGTCAATGGATAAGCATACAAGCTAAATCTCCACGACTAGTTCTGTCTTCTCTCACTGTACCGACTACTCTATCTTTTCCTTAGGTCACCTTTATTATTTCACTTATCTCAAACTATTATTATTATTACTATTCTGCTTTTATGACTACGCCGAATGACCAACGGGAGTTAGGTCAAACTCCATTCACGGCAGCAACTCAGTCCTAACATACTGCATACTACAAACCACATTTTGACCAATCCCCACACTACTGCTCTTGGAGTCTACCAGAACTAAAGCAGTCGAGTGGCGGGACTTACTATGCAGAAGTTCACCAAAAATCTGGAACCTCTACCTTACAATCAAGAAGCGAGCTCAGAGAAATCATTTGTTTATACTAGCTCGTAATCAGGATATTGGATATATATCTATAACAAAGTTAAGAGGTGGGTGAGAAAATAGACTACTTGACTTAGGTCCAGTTAAAAGGAGGACATATTGAAGGTGAAAATAACAATGAAGATGAATGACTAAACCAAATAACAGAGATAATAGTCCATCTGCCCTGGCTGGTATCAAAACAAAGTTTACCAACTTGATCATCGTTCGTCAGTCTGGGGTCATTTTTCGTTGTCAAATTGGTCAATTGGTAAAGATAACAAAATGAAGTGTAGATTGTTGGATTTGATCAGTGTGTAAAATTATAGAAGTAGTGTGTCTTTACATAGTGAACATGTTTATCACATTCGTGTAGATTTTGTCACTTCATGGGGGAGTTGGTGGGGATTTTGTAACCAGGTCAAATTCCGTTTTAGTCCATCATTCCTATTCAGTTCAGACAATTTGAATTCCACTTGATATGAAGTGCTTCTGATGATATGAGACGTTCTTTGTGATTTCTCACCTCTTAATTCTTTTCAATATGTATGCTGAGTGAATTTTGTAAATTCTTCTGGTTTAATAATACTGCTTTGATAAATCTATTATAGCACCAGCATTAAAAAAATAGCGAAACGTCAGTAAGAGCAAAACGATAATATCGTTTTGCTCTTTCCCATTCATTCATTCATTGAAAAATACAAGAAACCTTTATTATAATGAATATCATATACCGGATACCCAATGCCCAAACTGTATTTTCAAACTGTTAAAAGTGAAATTGGTTTGCGGACATATATAACATAAATCATTTCGTTGAAAAATACAGGAAGTAGATGCTGCTTTCTTTCCTATTGCTTTGGTTTTTGTAGTGTTGTGCAAGATTGTGTGAATTATTATTATTGTTTCCTTTAATTCCTAGAGGAACATACGGTTTCAGTCGTGCGTCTCCATTGCATTCGGTTCTATGCTAGAGTCTTCACCTCGCTCCAAGTCTGCCCACACGTTTTCGTCTCCTCTTCACATGACCTCCTCACCCAAGTCACCCTCACACTGACGACCAACTCGCCGCTTCCCTTTCGGGTTCCACTCGAGTAGTGGCTTGTCTAGTGATGTCACTTGCTGGATTGTTTCCTCAGAGTATGACCAATCCATCTCCATTTCTTCCTGCCTATTTGTTTCACAATCGGTTCCTGCTGTGTTGGTTTGTTCCCAGAGATCTCTGCTGCTGATCTTTTCTGGCCGGCCATCTGATCTTGAGTATTGAGCGAAGACAGCTGTTGATAGAGGTCTGTAGTTTGTTTGAGGTGCTCTTTATGACGCACAGTGCAAGTCTCTGATCCATATAGTAGCACTGACTGACTTCACATTGGAGTTGAAAATCCGGATCTGCTGTTGAGCTCCACACAGACTTGATAGTAGTAAAAGCTTGTCTTGCTTTTCCGATTCTTGCTTTGATATCCTCGTCAGTTCCGCCTGTAGTAGTTTTCTTTTGGCGCTAGGAGATTCATCGTGCTGAAGTTTCTGTAGCAGCTTTGTTTACAGGGTGGGGTTGCTAGCCTGACGCCTGAGAAGGGGAGAGAGATTGTGTGAATAAGTTGTCTTATTCTTTAGATTTCAATATGATCCATTAGAGGGGGGTTGGTATTTTTCTTTCACATGTGACTTCAATAAGATGAAACCTGCTCATGCTCTTTTAACAGGCTCAACAAAATTTTTTTTTCTTTCTTATTGTTCCTTGAAATGACTAAACAATATCGACATGGACGGAGATTCGTTGTCGGTGTTGTTATATTACCACCACTGCTGTTGTGAATTACACTCAGATTTGACTGAAATCTGATAGACATTTAGTACTTTGGCTGGTACTGGTAGGTATCTAGAGATTTGAAGTCTTCTCATTTCCTGATATAAGTTTAAAACTTGGTCACTGTGGTGCTGGCGTAGGCGTGACATCCGGCTATCAAACAAGAGACGTGTGTACTGCTCAGCAGTTCGCTCCGTCCTTCTATATGGCTCTGAAACATGGCCAATACGAGTTGAAGACATGAAAAGGTTGACTGTTTTTGATCGTAGATGTCTACGATCCCTTTCTCACGTTAGGTGGTATAATAAGGTAAGTAATGTTGACGTTAGGCGTAGAGTGTTGGGCAAAGAGGGAAAATCAATCGAAGAGGCTATAAAGTTACATAGATTGAGATAGCTAGGTGACGTGCTGCGCATGCCTAGCCATCGCCTCCCCCTCCCGACGGGCATTACTAGCTGATATAGGTGCAGGTTGGAAAAGAGTGAGTGGTGCCATGCCAAACAAAAAAATGGCCTCATCAATCCATGAAATCCCTGACAGTTAAACTGAGTCAGGTAGGTAGGGAGATGCAGACTTCCGGGTGGTTGGGGCCCGCCCTCGGGACTCTAAGAATCAATGGCTGGAGATAGACAATAGGTGACATGGCTCAAAATCGTTGTCAATGGCTTACACAGATGTATTCAGTCTCTGTAATCTTTCATATTCCTTTCTACCATTACTCATTGTGTTTCGCTCTTATACTTGTCAAAACTCTATTGATTGATTCTCTTCACTCATCCATCTTCTTGTCTACCTTTGTGTGCTATTTGGAACGTGGCAACTAACTGTTGTACTTCGGTGCCAAGTTCTATGTTGAATCCAGACAGAGGCAGACTGGGGTGGTGGTAGAATATAACTACTCCATTATGGATAAGATTTTATTTTGATAAACTGTCACTCACAGTGTGTGTAGTGTTATACAGTAAGTAATATTAACTGATGCGACCACACGCTTCGAGCACAAATTATCACTGCCACTTATAATCATCATATCAAGTCACTCACTCACTCACTCACACAACTTCCTTCTTCCTTCATTTATATACATGAGTGGAATTGATGATTAGATATTTGAATACAAATCAGTAATATGGGACAATGTACATTCAGAAATAATAATAATAATATGAGTGTTATTGACCAATTACAATCAGAATAAATAAGTTGTTAGAATGTTGTGATGTACGTGAATTGAATTGAAATAGAATACTATTTGAGATTATTTATTATCCTGCTCTGATTTCACTGACTAACTGACTGACGGTAATAATATCTCTGGTATTTGCATTGAGTCACTTCTGTTGCATGTGTTGTGTTGTGTGTAGACTCGATGAACCAGCCAGGATTCAGTAATCAACCTCTCTCTCTATCTCACTCCACCTACATAGATTACTTTTTAGAATTTCAATCCCCTCACACCATGCTATTGTGTGTTAATGCATGCAGTGCAATGTAGTGCTGATCATTTTTCTAAATTGCTTATCTTCTCGGATGGGTCAACCTTTCTTACGTTAGTTAAATTCTTATGTCCTGACAATCTGATTAGCATCCGATCTAATAGTTTGACCTATGTAGGTAGTTGACCTAACTCACAGTCATTGCAAGGTATTTTGTAAATTATATTATTTTGTTTAATTGGGTCCATCGGTTCTTTTAGCCTACAGAGCTTGTTCTACCTGAATGATTTCGTAGGTTTGAATGTCTCAGATGTCCTTTTCCTCCTTATATGGTATAACTGCTGTAGATGCCTTATATTCTCTCTTATTTATGTTACCATTACTAGTTTCACAATTATTATTCGATTTTGCTTTTGGCCTTTACTGATCTTCCTAATGAATTTTATAGGATAGTTAGTTACTAGTCTCATTTACTCTTTCTTAGCTATAACACTTAGTAACTTAAACTAGGTCTGCATTTGTGGTCTGTCTCTGTCTGGATTCAACATAGAACTTCAAGTGAAGAAATATGGCAATTGTTGGACGCCTAAAAGTGTGTCTATGTTCTAGGATCTGTCGGAGAGTGAAGATATGATCTATGCACCCTCTACCTGTCCTAAAGCCTGCTTGATTTTTCCTCGTTTGTTCCTCCCGAGTTCTGCTCAGTCTGTTAATGATTACTGAGCCTAGAATTTTAGAGACTATGTTCGTCAGGCTGATTCCTCTATGATTATCACATGAGGACTTGTCTGCCTTCTTGAATATTGGTATAATAAGTGACTTACCCCAATCTGATGGAACCGTCTCTGATTCCCAGACGTTACCTAGTACCTTAGTTAAACTATGTACTAGTATGTCACCCCCATATTTAAACACCTCCGGAATAATTCCATCGGGTCTTGCCGCTTTGCCTCGTTTCAAATTTCAAATAGCTTTGGTGACCTCACTTACAGACGGCGGACCAATGTCTATGTCCCATTCGGGTGTGTGCTGGATGGCGGGGAGGCTCAGTGTGGCTGTAGGCAAGTTAAATTGTTCCTCAAAGTGTTCTTTCCAGCGTTCAAGGCGTCTATCCTGAGAGCTAATTAAGGAGCCATTTTTCTCAGAAATAGTCTCACTTATGATTTGCCTTCTCCCACCCGTTTCCCTGATAAGCCTGAATAGTTGTCTGGTGTTGCCTATCGCCGATGCTTTTTCCATCTCTTTCGCCTTTGTCACCCACCACTGTTCACGGTCCTTGCGGAGACTTTTCGTAAGTTTCCTTTTGTGCAGCTTTCGCTCCTCATTGAATTGTGAACTAATATGATGAATAATGGTCTTACAGACCGTTCGTTTCATTAAGATGTAAAACCAGTCACACACACTTATATATATGACATCTTTAGATAGAAACTGATAGTTATTTTTTTCTTGTTTTATGTGGTAAGTTGAAAATGATTTTCATTTTTGGTTGTTTTTTTCGGTTGTGTTTTTCGTCAATTCCAATATGAGAGCAACACACACACACACACACATTGGCGAACAACATTAACAGTACGCACCCACTGGGATTCGAACCCAGGACCTTCCGGTTACAAGGCAAGCTCGTAAACATAACTAACCCTTACAAACCAAACTATAGAAAATTAATCTGATGCCCGCTAGTGACTTGCTACAGGATGGAGTTTCCTGGAGTTCTAGGGAGAAGTCGTGACCAGTGAGGTCCAATGAGATGTCACGTGTGTGGATGGATGTCCCACCAACGAAAATGGTTGGGGTCGCGCTAAATGCATCACGAATTGGTAGAAGTTAGAATTCATGCACTGGCCATTGAATCGGGTCCCAGTGGCTGAATGGTATACTAGCTTGCCTTGTAACCGGAAGGTCCTGGGTTCGAACCCCGGTGCAGTGGTGGGTGCGTACTGCCGATGATTCCCAAACTAGGCTGATGAAACAGCAGCTGTCCAGTACTCCGGTGCTGGTTTTCAATGGTTCTCTAACTGATATCAGTCCGTGATCAACTCGTAAAAACATAACTAACCCTTACAAACCAAACTATAGAGAACAACATTAATAATAATAAGATCAGTGATATCATGAATGAAGGTTATTTCCTTCAACAATGAGTGTATTTTCTTTTAATTTCATTCACTTCTTTCTTTCTTTTAAGGTTGTCCCCAAAGACTACAAAACTATGACGGCTCTTTCAAAGGCTATCGCAAAGAATGTTTTGTTCTCACACTTGGATGAAACAGAAAGAAGGTATATATATACATATATATGTATATTTTGCCTCCCATTATCTCATGTTTTTATCCCTTGCCTTTATATGAATTGTTTGTTTGAGTAGTGTATTTTGATATGGTTGTGTTCTCTCTCCGAGCTAACTGGATAGTTAATTTGCGAAGCTTTCATCGCCCTACTAGGCAACATCTTCCATCAGCCCATACTTCAATTTGAAGTGAGCTTTCAGATTTCTCCACGAGTTCACCGTTAATCATCTCTCCTGGTCGGTGACCACCTTGGACGTGATTGGTTGTTTTTGTGTGTTTTCACACCTTCTAGGTTATTTGTATTGTCACTCATTGTTTCTTTGACTTGAACTTTGACCCTTTGTGTGTCAATGTGTGAGGTTTCTTTCTTATCGGTTGATAAATTTTGTCCATCTCGATGTGTGTCTATTGATTGATGATTCACTGGAATACCAGGTAGGCTTCTAAAAATTCTCTAGCATTCTCTGTGTTGTTTCCTTTGTCTAATATTTGAACGTTGGTTGTCCCAGTCGAATTGATGTCCATGGTTGTCTGTATGTAGTGATATGAGGGAGTGGATATCATGTCTTTTGACAGCTAGCTTATGTTCGTGGATACGAAGACGAAGAGCAGGGGACGTCCACTTTAGCCAATGTAGTGTTTTTCGCAGTTGATACAATCTATTTTGTAGATGATGTTGGTTTTATCTTCCTTCGCTGTTGAGTCTTTTGGTTGACATAGAATTGAGTGAAGTGACTTTGTTGGTTTGTGTACGACGTCAATTCCTCATCAAGGTTTGAAGAGTCTTGTAGTGATTTCTGAGATGTCCTTTATATATGGTAAGGCGATTTTCTTTCTGCTTTTCTTGGGGGCTTTTGGTTTGATAGGTTGGCTTGGATGGAGTATATGTCTTTTGATGAAATTCCGTGGATATCCATTCTTTTGGAAGACGTCCATGAGATATTTTTCTTCAATTTTCCTTAAGGTGGGAGTGCTGCAATGAGTCCTGGCTCTCTTGAATAGTGTTTGTATGTAATTGCATACAAACGTCCCCTTCGTCTTCGTATCCACGAACATAAGCTAGCTGTCAAAAGACATGATATCCACTCCTTCATATCATTACATACAGACAACCACGGACATCAATTCGACTGGGACAACGTTCAAATATTAGACAGAGGAATCAACACCAAGAATGCTAGAGAATTTTTAGAAGCCTACCTGGTATTCCAGTGAATCATCAATCGATAGACACATCGGGATAGACAAAATTTATCAACCGATAAAAAGGAAACCTCACACACACAAAGGGTCAAAATGCAAGTCAAAGAAACAATTAATGACAATACAAATAACCTAGAAGGTGTGAAAACACACAAAAACAACCAATCACGTCCAAGGTGGTCACCGACCAGGAGAGATGATTAATGGTGAACTCGTGGAGAAATCTGAAAGCTCACTTCAACAATTCAAATTGAAGTGTATGCGCTGAAGGCAGATGTCGCCTAGTAGGGCGATGAAAATAGTGTTCCTTATCGAATAAACAAAAACGAAGTTAATATTTGAATGTACCAGCGTTCATTATATGGTTTTTTTTGCGTTATATGATATCAATCCGTGATCAACTTGTAAAAAGAAAAGCTAACTCTTACAAACCAAAACTGTAGAAAAAATTAATCTGATGGTTTCTAGTGACCACTAGCTACAGGATCGAGTTTCCTGGAGTCAGTCAGTTCTAGTGAGAAGTCGTGACCAGTGAGGTGGTCCATCCAGATGTCACGTTTGGGGATGGATGTCCCACCGATAACACTGGTTGGTGCCAGTCGCGCTAAATGCATCACGAATAGGTAGAAGTTAGAATTCATGCACTGGCTGGCTGGCCTTCGAGGAATTGGCTCCCAGTGAGTGGTGGCTGAATGGCATACGAGCCAGCCAGCTAGCTTGCCTTGCTTGTAACCGGAAGGTCCTAGGTTCGAACCCCGGTGCAGTGGTGGGTGCGTACTGCCCATGGTTTCTTTTTATTTTATTCTAAAGAATACTTTGAACAACGTGAATCCATTTTGTCGGTTTCGTTAAATATAATCTTTAGAACACAATATTCAGCGAAGAGACTCTCTCCAACAACGAATTTATTATCAAGCTGTACAGTCGTATATACACATATGGTTTTTTAAAGAAATTATATTCGGTGAGAGAATAGGGTCAAAGGTGTGAATACATGAAATAATAATAATAGTATGAAATGCCATTAAAATATTTGTGATTATAATCATAGTTTAATGTCAAGTGGCAAAATAATTAATGTCATTTATAGAATAATACATAAGATGGATGTATAGATGTTGGAAAGGGGTGCATAATTACAAGATTAGTAGACGAATATAAAATGTTACATAACATGGTGTGAAATTTGATAAGATAGAATTCAATATTGTAAAAATAAAAAATATAAAAATAATAATTTTGGGTTTAAAATGTCAAGTGGGTCAAGTCGAAAAGATTCAGAGTGAGAATAGTAATAATAATAATAAGGGAAGAGTACATAGAATAACTAAATAAACAAAATAAATAAATGTCTATCCCTCTACGGCCAAGGCAGAAGTAGGGATTGTACATACTTCTTTTGTACACAAAGACCCGTCTGGCTGAAAGTCATGAATTGCGAAGGCTTCAGCTGTCTTTAGAAGTCTGTAATGAAGAAAACGCGGACGGCAAGTTACCATAGACTCTGCACTCGATCTTAAAATCATGGTCAGGGTTGGTGTGGAGTGACAGAAGTCGATCAGGTGTTCCAGAATAGAGCTTCACACACACACTTCCTTTCTCCCTTGTAAAGCCATGCTGCTTGAATATGTTCTCGTATCCGTGCGATGGAAAGCGGCATCCTCTGACTACGGTCAAATATAATCTTTTCTTTTCTCAGGTGACAAATATGACTATTGGCCTGAAGTACAACAATCTTAGGTAGAATGTGAATGTGAAAGTACGTATAAGTGGACTGTACGTTCAGTAAACACGACATACTGAGTCGGAGACTACTCATCATAATACCATCTTCAAATGACATCAATTTTGTCAAATATGCTGACGATCTGACTGTATCTTTGCCTGTCAAATGTCAAAGCGACTGCTCGAAACATAATGACTTTCTGTCACAAATCAGCCAATGGTCCAAGGAAAACGGTCTTACCTTAAACCACTCCAAATGCCAAACAGTCAATTTCACCTTTAGGCATAAATCCTACCTAAACAAACTGGTTGGCTCTTACGAAGTGTGCAACATAGATGGCACTGAAATAAAAAGCAAGTCGGAAATTAAATACCTAGGCGTCATTCTATCTGCTGATCTTTCCTGGTCGTCTCATATCTTGGCGATTTCTAAAAAAATATTCCGTCTTACCTTCTACATCAAGAAGTTAAAACATTCTGGTATAACCCAACCCTTACTCCTACAATTCGTTAACTCTCGCATTCTGCCTATTATTCTCTATTGTTCCCCCTTAGTTTTTCCAGGGCTACTGAAGAAGGACCATATATCTTATTACGTAGGGTGTTAAAGGTTGTCAGCAGGGTAAGCAACGTGCCACTTAACCAGCTTGTTAATATTCTGGTCGACAGGCAGGCACTTGGACTCATGTGAAAAATGGGCCAAATCGATTTTATGTAACTCATACCACCCTCTTCACTCACAACCCTCCCCTTGTATATCTCATCAGGCAAAACCAGAAGCCTATATAGGAAACTATATGCTCGCATCAGCAATTACAAAAGCTCAACCATACCCTACTTGGCTCGTGTTCTGTGCGATAAAGAAAGCATTAGGCGTGACACCTATAATTCATTAAATAGTCAGTAGTACAACTGCATCTCGTCTTTCCAATTCACATCATTTATAGGTACGACATTTTCTTTCTTTCTTTTCCTATTCTTTCTCTTTTTTTCCGTTATGTGCTGCTTTGTTTCTTTCTCTAGCTTACGCCAGTAAATATGACAGCACCTACTTTTCTAACACCTTCAAACACTGTTCAGCTTTGGCTTTGCTACCGACATGCCAATGTGTTGTTGTCATAATGAACTGAGATTTCCGTAATCTATGTAGAATTTATATTTATTGATAATGTACTAACTGGATGCGCAATACTGTAGTGAAAATGCTGATAATTCCATTCTGTATCACAAGTACTGTTTCGGAATAAAGCAAATTATTATTATCATTAATATTACCTAAAGTTGTACTCATATACCTACCGTCTACGTCTACTCTCAAATTCTCGCCAAAATGGTGATCATCTTAATAATCAACTTAACCTGCACAGGGAATCTTGAATGCTAATGGATCTTATCTTATTTCAATTCCTGAGTCTCTGAAGTCAGCCAGTTAGGATGAATTCCATTAGTATCTCTATGCTGTGGAATTATTGAACAGAAGTTGGTATCCCTGATGGATACCACTGGTTGTCACCACAGTTATCGGGTGACAAATCTCCATAGGCTCTTACATGGCTGACTGCATTAGTTTTGAGTAGAGTGTGTGTGGATCAGTGAGGTGTATTTTTGCTCAGTATTTCCTTCACAGCCAAATATCGGCATGGTACCTCTTGGTCAACGGAGTCGAATGGATGATTTCAGGTGAAGAAATATGCGAATTGTTGGACGCCGACGGTAAGTATGCCCCCTATGTTGTGTTCCAGAATCTGTCGAAGGATGGCTGAAGATATGATCATGAATGCACCCTCTCTTCCTGGTCTAAATCCACCCTGGTGGTTCTCTCGTGTTTGTGCCTCCTGAGCACCACTTAGTATTGGAGGCATTATTATTGAGCCTAGAACTTTAGATGCCACCATATCAGTCACGTTAATCGCCGTGTGACTATCACAGGAAGACTTGTCTCTTGACTTTTTGTATATCCATCGGGATAATCAACAACTTATACCAGACTGACTGGACTCTGTCAAATAATATGTTTAGAAAGTAGAAGGATTGAACGAAGAAATATTTACCGTTCAATTAGATACTCATGTTACGTGTTTTTACTTATTGCTCCTTCGTTTTCGTTTGTTCACTGTTAAAAGGTAGACTATAACCGTCTAGTTTTTTTCTTTTATAAAAATACTGTAACTAATGAGACATACAAGATGTTTCCTATTTTTCAATTCATGGAAAATTCCCATGGAGACATATAGAAAATCAAAACAAGTGATCCATACAGTAAAGAGAATCTTGTCAACAAATTCAGAGTCGAGCTGTGCAATCGAAGAGTTACAAGAGAAAGCCGACAAACTGGTCGAAGAAGCAGCCGGTGAAGACAGGACTCCAGGTGAACATAGACAAGACGGAGGTTATGAAAATAACCAACCAACAACAACAATAGCATCAGCAACATCCAGTGCCAATCACCATCAACAGGAGGGATTTGAAAGAGGTTACTTCATTCACTTATCCAGCCAGGGAGCATTGTCTCAACTACAGGCAGGTGGAACGGACGAGGATGTCAAATCGAGAATCGGAAAGGCGAGAAACACATTCATCAACCTGAAACAACCAATCTGGAAATCTTTCGCTGTCACTCAGCAACACTCAACAACAAAATTCGGATTTTCAATACAATACAAACGTCAAGTCAGTGAGTTCTTCTATACGGACGGATGAGAAACTTGGCGGGTCACAAAGAATATTTCCAACAGCCTGTTGCAGACCTTTATCAACAACAGCTGTCTTCGTTCTGAACTGAGATTTCCTTAATCTATGTAGAATTTCTATTTATTGATAATGTACACAAACTGGATGCGCAATACTGTAGTAAACGAAATGCTGAGAATTCCATTCTGTATCACAAGTACTGTTTTTGGAATAAAGCAAATTATTATTATTATTCTATTATTTGTTAAACCTTTTTTATTTTCTAATATTTCTCCTCACTAGTTTTTTTTGTTGCTAATAGTAAGTACGTATGTTGATTCTTTAACTGGTTCGCACACTGAATCTGAACACTTGTGCCTTAATCCCTTTTTTTGTTCTTTTCTTTTCTTTTCCTTTGTTTCACCAGTGATATATTTGACGCGATGTTTCCTGTACATCGGAATCCAGGTGATGTCATTATTCAACAAGGTGATGAAGGTGATAATTTCTATATTATCGATCAAGGTGAAGTCGATGTGAGTTAGACATATTCCATATTGTGTTGTTGGATTTCTGAATATGATGTATATGTATGTATGTATATATTCCGAAAATTACATACATCGACTTGTTACCAATTATTATTATTGTATCCTTTAATTCCTAGAGGAACGTAGGGCTTCAGCCGTGCGTCTCCATTGCGTTCGGTTCTCTGCTAAAGTTTTCACCTGGCTCCAAGTCTGCCCACACGTTTTCATCTCCTCTTCACATGACCTCCTGCAAGTCACCCTTGGACGACCAACTCGCCGCTTCCCTTTCGGGTTCCACTCAAGGGCTTGTCTAGTGATGTCACTTGATGGTTTCCTCAGAGTATGGCCTGCCAATCCATCTCCATTTCTTCCTGGATATATTTGTTGCACAATCGGTTCCTGGTTGGTTCGCTCCCAGAGATCTTTGTTGCTGATCTTTTCTGGCTGGCCATCTGATCTTGAGTAGTATTGAGCGAAGACAACTGTTAATGAAGGTCTGTAGTTTGTTTGAGGTGCTCTTTATGACGCGCAGTGCAAGTCTCTGATCCATCCGTATAGTGAGTAGCACTGACTGACTTCACATTGGAGTTGAAAATCCGGATCTTATTTTTTATGCTGAGTGTTGTTGACCTCCACACAGACTTGAGAGTATTGAAAGCTTCTCTTGCTTTTCCGATCCTCGCTGCTTTGATATCCTCGCCAGTTCCGTTGGCCTGTAATTGAAACGATGCTTCCCAGGTAGGTAAAAGAGGTTGTTTCTTTCAGGTTCCTCCCATTTATGCTGGCTGATTGTTGTCTGTTGTTGTTGTTGCTGTTGGTGGTGTTGGCCAGGAATCTTCATCACCTCTGTTTTTTCTATGTTCTCCTGAAAGAAGACATATCTTCTCCGGGTGGTTCTTCTGCCAACTTGTTGCTTTTCGCTTGCATACACCCTCTTTTTTTCACCCTACATAGATATTTTAAGTTCATTAAACGTGTGAGTTACAACAAACTACAATTATAAATGTTAATATTGTTGGAAGGAGATGATAAACATTTCTACACAGGACATTAAAATCAGTTCACACATATAATATAAAAGTTAGCATAACAGGACTAGTTAGTTAGTGTATCAAAATCCAAAGGTGAGTAAAACCATTGGATTTTGACTGCCTCATCCGAACTGATAGATGCTAGAAGACTTATTCCGGCGAGCTCCAAATTCAATGAGGAGCGAAAGCTGCACAAAAGAAAACTTTCGAAAAGTCTGCGCAAGGACCATGAACAATGTTGGGTGACAAAGGCGAAAGAGATGGAAAAAGCATCGGCGATAGGCAACACTAGGCAACTCTTTAGACTCATCAGGGAGAAGGCAAATCATAAGCGAGACTATTTCTGAGAAAAATGGCTCCTTAATTAGCTCTCAAGATAGACGCCTTGAACGCTGGAAAGAACACTTTGAAGAGCAATTTAACTTGCCTACAGCCACACTGACCCCCCACCACCCTCCAGCACACACCCGAATGGGACATAGACACTGGCCCGCCGTCTGTAAGTGAGGTCACCAAAGCTATCTGTAATTTGAAACGAGGCAAAGCGGCAGGACCCGACGGAATTATTCCGAAGGTGTTTAAATATGGGGGTGACATACTAGTATATAGTTTAACTGAGGTGAGGTACTAGGTAACGTCTGGGAATCAGAGACGGTTCCATCAGATTGGGGTAAGTCACTTATTATACCGATATTCAAGAAGGGAGACAAGTCCTCATGTGATAATCATAGAGGAATCAGCCTGATGAACATAGTCTCTAAAATCCTAGGCTCAGTAATCATGAACAGACTAAGCCGAACTCGGGAGGAACAATCGAGGGAAAATCAAGCGGGCTTTAGGCCAGGTAGAGGGTGCATAGATCATATCTTCACTCTTCGACAGATCCTAGAACATAGACACACTTTTAGGCGTCCAACAATTGCCATATTTCTTGACCTGAAGGCGGCCTTCGACTCCGTGGATCGAGAGGTACTATGGCAATGTTTGACTGTGAAGGGAGTGCCAAGAAAGTACATTGCACTAATCAAGGCACTCTACTCAAACTCACGTGGCCGTGTAAGAGCTTATGGGGAATTCTCATCTGAATTGATAACAACCAGTGGTGTCCGTCAAGGATGTCCACATTCCCCTTTTTTGTTTAACTTCATCATAGATATGCTAATGGAAGTATCCTTAACTGAACTTAACGACTCAGAAATCGACTTGTTACCAGGGAATAGTCTTATGGACTTAGAATATGCAGATGACATAGTCATGTTAGGGAGGATGCTGACAAAATACAGCAGAGTCTTCTGAACACCTTGAGCTGCAGCAATCTTCGTATGTTTGGCATGCGATTCGCCCCTGTAAAATGTAAGATGCTGCTACAGGAATGACTGGACTAGGTCAACTCCTAGCTTAGTAGTGATAGGGAGTGAAGTGATAGAACACCATGTTGACCACTTCACCTATTTGGGAAGTTGTATCAGCACCAACGGATTGATTGGTGACGAAATCTCAGCACGGATCCAAAAAGCTCGGGCTGCTTTCGCTAACTTACACCATCTCTGGCTTAGTAGGCGTGACAGCCGACTATCAACCAACCAAGGGACTTGTGTACTGCTCAGCAGTTCGCTCCGTCCTTCTGTATGGCTCTGAAACATGGCCAATACGAGTTGAAGACATGGAAAAGGTTGTCTGTTTTTGACCACAGATGTCTACGATCTCTTTCTCGCGTTAAGTGGTATAATAAGGTAAGTAATGTTGACGTTAGGCGTAGAGTGTTGGGCAAAGAGGGAAAATCACTCGAAGAGGCTGTAAAGTTACATAGATTGAGATGGCTAGGTGACGTACTGCGCATGCCTAACCATCGCCTCCCCTCGCGACGGGCATTACTAACTGATGTATAGGTGCAGGTTGGAAAAGAGTAAGTGGTGCCATGCCAAACAAAAACATGGCCTCATCAATCCATGAAATGCTTGACAGTTAAACTGAGTCAGTCAGGTAGGGAGAGAGATGCAGACTTCCGGGTTGGGGCCCTCGGGACTCTAAGAATCAATGGCTGGAGACAGACAATAGGTGACATACATGGCTCAAAATCGTTGTCAATGGCTTACGTAGATGTATTCAGTCTCTTGTGTAATCTTTCATATTCCTTTCTACCATTACTCATTCTGTTTCACTCTTATACTTGTTAAAACTCTACTGATTCCCTTCACTCATTTTCCTGTCTATCTTTGTGTACTATTTGGAAGGTGGCAACTCGAACTGCTGCACTTCGGTGCCAAGTTCTATGTTGAATCCAGACAGAATGTTATATACTATATAAAATATTATAATATTTAAATAAAGCAATGAGAAGACGTAATTTGTCTGAATCGTGTAATGTTGTATTTGCACAACACATTTCGAACAATCTGATCCATCACACACACACACGGACTTGTCATAGGAATGTCATACAGATGTGGAAATAATAAAGAGTTAAGAGGTGGGTGAGAAAATAGACTACTTAGGTCAAGTTAAAAGGAGGACATATTGAATATCAAAATAAGAATGAAGATGAATGGCTAAACCAAATAGCAGAGGTAATAGTACATCTGCTATGGTATCAAAACAAAGTTTACCAAGGAAGGTTTAATGTGATGACGAATTGCTGCTTTGAACGCATAAAGGTGGTTTAAACTTTCTAACTGCCAGCTAGGGCTTCCACAAACTTTAGGATACGCCCTCACCCAAACACGCTTTTCTAGATAGATAGGTTTAAAAGATGTGTTAACGTCAATTTTATGTCCTGTCTCCTCTACAATATGTTTCGCAATAGAGGAGCTAGTTCTCCTGTTCCCACCATCAACGGGTTCTGAAGATTCCATTTGTTTCTGGAGCTATTTAGTAATAAGCTCTGAAGCCAGTCATTACTTGCAGAGATCGATGAGTCCTCTCTTCTCTGTATGTGTGGGTATCCACACGTACATCGACTGAGATGGTTAGGACATGTGTTACGTATGCCTAGTCATCGCCTTCCTCGATGGGCAATGTTAGCTGATATAGGGCCAGGCTGAAAAAAAGCTGGCGACGGTCAAATGAAAAAATGGCACCAGTCAATGAAATCTACAACAGTCAGTCTAAGCCAGCCAGCCACGTAGAAGTTGTAGACTTCCTGACTGACTGGTTGGGGTCCTCGGGACGGTAAAAACCAATGAAGGCTGGAAACAATTGGTGATATAGTTGGCTCAAAATCGTTCTCAATGATGGCTGGTGCGCAGATGCATCCACTCCTTGTGACTTATGATTTCCAATGAAACTATATTGTGTTCTTCGTTATTACTATTCCTTTGTCTCACCACACCTCTGTGTTTACTGTCTCTCTCTATTATGCATTTCTCCTACTTTCTTCTCTTGCTTTGTGTGCTACAAGGAGGGAGTGTGGCGACTTTAACTGCCGCACATATGTGCAAAGTTCTGTGTCGAAAACCGACCTGCCGATCCACACGTACATTCAAATTGATAAATACAGTGGGATGTGACATCATTTTTGACATGTTCAAAGGGCTTAGGTGGATGGATATATATTGGCTTGACATTCTCAATTATTATGATATTAGCTGCATAAAAAGTCTAATCACAACCACAACGGCGTTCAGTCTCTGTCTGGTGATCAAGCTGCTATGATGCCTCGCCCATATAGGGTAGCTTGATGTACACGTCTTTCTTAGTGGCGAGTTGTATAGTGAGTGGGTCTTGGTGTTCCACTGACTACTTTATATCTCCTGATGAAGTTGTCTGGATAATTGTTATCACCAATCATAGTTTGTGTCAACTTTCTTTCTTTCTTCCTTATCATCAAGTGTGTCTGTCTTCAGTGCATAATCGTTGGATTCTACTGAAGAGGCACCTCACTAACTAAGGCTGTTTTGTACCGAACAGGGCAGAAACTGTGGTAATTAAGATGCTGCCCTGTTCAAGTAGGTTTTCTATAAATAAATGTTTTTATTG